TATTTTGCTAGAGTCTGAAGCAAAACCCCAGAAAACATATCACTCAACAAGCGGAAAAAGTACCTGATCCCTAAAATAGTCAAATCACTCCTGGGGGGAAAAAAGCAGTAGGATGTATATGGACGACTTGGAAGCTCTGCTAATTAAGATACTGGACTAATGGTAGCCAAAGAGATTCACAGAACACAACCGGGGAACTTATACTTCAAATAGGTTTTCAAAATAATGAAAGAAAAAAAGGAAATGATTTTTCAACATGATTTTGAAACATCATTTGGGAAAACAAAACAAGACAAGATTCTTGATATATTATATCATGTATATATTTTGAAAGCGATCATAGGAAAATACAGTACTAATCTTCCAGAAGAAACTGCAGAATATTTCTAACCTAATGTGGGCAAAACTGCTAATACAAGATTTAGAAAACAACTAAACATAAAAGAAAAAATTGATAAAATAACTTCAGAATTTTAAAAAATTTTATCAAAAAATGAATTCACAAACTGCATAAAAATATGTAAAATTATGTTTGACAAAAGATTTGCATTCAAAATGTGTGTGGCCTATTACTATTAAATTAAAAACAAATGACCCAATAACAAAATGGACTAAAGATTTAATGAATGCTTTACAAAAAATTATTAATTAATGACTGGTAAATTCATGAAAAAGTACTTAGTATCTGAAAAATGCAAATTAAAAAAAGTGTGATACCAGTACTCATCTATTAGTACTGCTAAAATTTAACATTTGATAGCTACAAAAGTTGGTGAGGAAGCATAGCATCCAAAGTGTATGTACATCCCAAGAGGCAGTGTAAATGGATATAACCTCTAGGAAAACAGGCTTGGCAGATTCTCATAAAGTTAAACATACACCTTCCCTTAATCCTTACCACTCTCATATTATAAAACAACTGCACAGTTGGCATGCTTACATTAACTCCCTCTTCTTTTATACTTTGCTTTAGCTGACTAAATTGTGCTGTCAACAAAGTTTAATCAGTAAATCTCTCTGATTCTGTATCCTAGTGTTTTCCCCTTTTATTTCTGATGAAGTACTGGGAATGTGTTGTGAATGAATTCAGGGAAGGACTAGTATATATAAAGAAGGGATATGAGCTCAGATATTCTCTCTGAATTTCAGCATTTGCTGCCCCAGACCAGAAGCTAAGCAAACAAAGCCACAATCCCTCTGGTACCACTGGACCTAAAAACATCCCTATGTCAGCACGATTCATCCAGCCTTCTGGGTCCACACCTCCCTTCACGTCCCTGCAGCTGTCCACACTACACTCAGAGAGGGGGTTCTGTGCCAGCGAAGCTGCTCGGGAGGCTCTGGTGGCAGACTTGTGCTTCACTCCTACGTAAAATATTTCACTTGGCTGTTTTGATTTTTTATTTTGACAATAAGAGAATAATTTATGTCATCTTCCATAATTGCTTCTCAGAATACATGCCTTAGAAGAGGTGTCCCACACAATGTTCCATCCTTTAGAAATCTTAAGTGAAATATATTTGAAAACACCCTCCTATCATAAACCTTATGGAGAGCCCCACCAAATGCTAACATGTTAAAGACCGTAAGGGTTCCTGAGATAAAGAAATCTGATTGAGTGCCTGGGATTTAGCTCAATGGTTTCGGTGCCTGATCTGCTTGCAAGCACAAGGTCCCAAGTTCGATCCCTGGTATCCCCCCGCCAAAAAAAGAAATCTGATTGATTTTGTTAAACCTAGAGTATAATGATACACATTTGATTATAAAAGCCTCTGTCAAATAATGCCTATGAAAACCTTGTGGAAATCGTGAGGGTAACATTCAGTTAATATTTAATATATATTATGATAGACAATATCTGTTCTGAGTACTTTCAAACAACCTGATGAGGTACTGACATTATTTTGCTTTCTTTGAATATCAAGAAATTGATGCTCCGAGAGATTTTGTGACTTTACCAGGGTCATATGTTAGGATATACAAAAACCAGAATTTCAAAGGCGTCTCTGAACTCTAGGGTTCAGGAGATGCAGTGGAGGGCTGTAGTCATTCCCAGCACGGTTCTCAGGAACTGAGGCTGGGAAGCTGTTAAACCATGTACATCAATCTTTAGCATGCTTTCTGAGGAGCAAGAGCAATGACTTATCCCAATCAAACCAACCAAGGCTTCTGAAGAGGCATACACACGTCCAGCCTTGCTCATTTCTTTTTCATTTGTAATAAAATGTTTGGATGTATCCTGCTGGTTCATCAGCTTTTTAAAAAAGATTCAGTCCCAGGGCAAGAGGTAACAATTATAAACTAGTTTTCTTACACTTTTGATAGAAATGTTTTAAGCTCTGTCAAATTCTAGGATCCAGGATGGTTCTAAACAGCCTGATTGCAAGTGTGATGATGTCTTTACGGTTTTGCCAGACCATGGAAACACTTTCTGACAGGGATGGATTGACTGGGATTCTGGGTTAGGGGAGAGACCCAAAGAGATCTTTAGACAGTCTGTTTTGGAGCAACCGCTCACACAAGAAAGCTTCATAAGTTTTATTTATTATACAAGAATATTGTCATATTAACATAGAAATCATTTTTACAACATTTAAAATCATAGTTTAATTTTCATTTTAGCAATTATAGCTGGTAGTACATTATAAATCTTAAATATTGACACAGGGTATCTAAAATGATATCTTAAAAATATGTATTTTTGAGAACTAGCATTCTATATCTTACTTAACTCCTTTTATGCAATTAGATGGTTGCTGTGTTTCATTATTATAATTATTTAAGCATATTAATGGGTATATAATTATCTGGTCTTTATTCAGGAAAATTCCAAAACCATTAGGTCAGATATAAATTCATTTTTATGACTCTTGAAATTTGCCATTAATGATTTCTAAGAGTGTCTTCATACTTTACTAACAATAGGTGACTATCAATTTTGGTATATTCTTGGCAGCTTTGAATATTTTCTTTTTATTTTTCATGACGGTATAGGTATAAAATTGTGCTTCATTATTATGATCGTATGTATTTTTAAGCAACATTTAGGCACTAAAGTATTAATATGGTTAGAAATATTTTGAGGGGCTGGGGCTATAGCTCATTAGTCCTTGCAAAACATGCCAAAAACCCTGAGTTCAATCCCCAAGATAGCAAAAAAAAGTACGATTTTGAGTAGTATTTTTCTTCATGTAGATGGAAACCTTCTCTCACAAGTTTTCATTCAACTTGGCCTCATTCTTACGTGTCAGATGCTGTGCTAAGGGCAGGCGCCCTCTCGTTCTCAGTGTCTCCTCGCCTACTCACCATGTTACATTTGGAGTTCAGAGATTCATCTGCCGGGGGCATCCATTACCTTTCTGTTTCACAACGGCTGCTTTGTCAACCTCTCCTTTGCCATTTCTAGCATGACAGACATAGTTGCGCCTGAGATCCTCAGGGGTTACTTTCTTGATGCTTAAGACCTGAGTTCTTGTTTCATCTTCCGTTTTAGAATAACTTGTACTAGAGAAAGGGGAAAGAAAATCAAAGCATTTGTGAGACTCAAGGGCTGTGCAATGTAAATCAGACAAAGAAGCAGCCACAGAATCCCCATGAGAGGGTAAACAGAATCTTTACACAGTGTTGCCTGTAACACAATGTCCACAAAAGGGAACAGCTAGATATTGATACTGCTGTTCACCATCTATACTGCACACTGTCCTAGTGCCTAAAGCTTCTTAGTACTGCTCTCTTCAAAGCAAAATGTCTCAAACTTCTGAGGTACGATGCTGTATTGGTTTAGAAGGAATCTTTTGTGATTAGATCCACTTAAGTTTTATTGCAGATTTTCCCATTTACAGCCACATAGTTTGGGCAAAGAAACTAATGTTTCCATGCCTCGTGTTTTGCAGAAGAGGAAGGTTATAATGGCTACATGGTGCATGGCATATATTAATTTACTGAAGAATTCTGAAGACTGAATATGTGTATGGATAAGTATATGAACAAAGCTTCAGAAATGATGATGTAGGTGTCATTATTATCTCACAGTAGCAGCTTCAGTGCACTTCAGTGATTCCAGAAGCTTGGATGCTGAACACAGAGTATTTGGTCATGGTTAAATCCTAACACTATAAAGAAAAGAAATGGCTCAGAGCAAGAAAACTAAAAATAAATATACCCAAATGCAGTGAGTCAAAGATCAAGTGCTTTGGGTCTAAGATCAAGATTTAAAATCCCTTTGAATTACTCTATTCCTACAGCCTACTGTATCCAGGTTCTGTGTTGTATCAGGTTTACTGTGTATCAGTCCTGCAAATCTCGTTAAGGGCTGATTGGTTTAACCTAGGCTTCCCTCTCCTTCTCTGATAAACACTGAGAACATGTCTCAATCATAGCACGGAGGAAGGACGTGATTTCATTATGATTCATTATTACTACGAGGATGAGAAATTCAAAGATGAGAATTCCTGAAGTGACTGGTAACCTTCTCTCGGACACGCTAGCCACATCTTTCGTAAATTCCTTTCTGCAAAAAGTAATTCAGCTTTGGAAAGTCAACATCTGTGTCTTTGCATATGTTTTTTTCTAACCTCTAAGCCTTTGCATGTGATGTTTCCCATACTAGGAATTCTCTCCTTTTTTTTTTTTTGGTCCAGTTAATTTCTACCCAAATACTCATTTTGGTAATGTACCATCTAAAAAGCTCCTAAACTGAACCCTAAAACTGACTAAATCTCCTAAAACTGACTAAATCCCCTAAAACTGACTAAATCCCCTCTTCAATCTTCCTGTGCTGCCCAATCCTTCTGAGTCACCTCGCTTACCATATTATACTGCAACGTCTGCTCTATCATTGTTACCTCCTATAAAACCTGCCTGGTAAGCAGCTAAGTATCCAATACAAAGTAAACATTTTTAAATTTCTCCACAAAGTCTGAAAGTATTATTAATAAACAGCTTTTGAATTCTATCTGTAAATAGGTGATAAAGCTTAAGATTTTAGAATCCCATTGTCATGTAATTGATTAGCTACTAATTTTGTTAATAGTTGCAGTGAACCAATTGCTCTTGGTAATGCTGTAGTTCATTTTCAGAGAAATATTATGTCTTTAAAAACTCATACTTTTCTTTTAAAAATTCAGGTTTAAGAATAAAATGCCCTGAGGTTGTTATTTTATAAGTGAGTGATATCACTACTCAACCATTTTAAAAATAAGATTTTCAAAACATAAAGGTATTTAGTCAACATTTAAAAAATGATTATGTATTTACAGAGGAAGAAAATAGGAAATGTATGAACACTGCGATAATAATTAAACATAGTTTTCTGAGGCACACAAACATAGGCATGTACTCCAAGATTGTGACAAAAACTAACAAGTACTTTCACGTACATATTCACAACCCTACACTGTAACCTTCTCATTCATGTAGGATAGGCATTCCACCTACTTCCAAATGAGTGTCATAAATGTGGGAATTTTACTAGGCTTAAACCAATCGTGGATGATAGGAAAACTATGGTGAAGCTGCAGGACATTCTAATTCATTTCTTTTTTTTTTGTACTGGGGATCAAACTCGGGTCCTTGCGCTTCCACAGCAGACAGTGAAACCACTGAGCTAAATCCCCGGCCCTCTAATTCAATTCTTTAACAGATATTAGCTGGCATACAGCTCTCGGATAGCACGTAAAGTAGCTATGCTTTGGGAATACAGCCATTAAAGACCTGAAAATCTTCACAATTTTTGTGAATGATGGGCAAAATTTTTATTTTCATCCATTAGTATATATTAAAGTCTCTTAGACTGAAGGGCAAAAGTTAATCATTTCTTTGCAGACCGCTATAATACCTTTCACTAATGGTTATGTCAACAGTGATGTCATCAGGCTTTTTTCCATCAATGGTCCACCAAATCTCATTGTGAGAGTCCATGAGAAAACTAAAATAGACTGTACAAGGGATGAGTAGCTCCTCTCCTAAAAAAAAAAAAACCAAAAGAAATTAGATGAAGTTAACCGATGCGTTTGTAACTTTCACGTGGTTGGTTATATTGATATAATTCTCTAGTAGACTACCATAGTTAATATACCATACCTCACTCTAAAAGCAACCAAACAAATGGACAAAACCAAAAACAGGGAAAAGTCAATAACTTTGTATAAAATTACTAGAATAACCATTTTAATATAATCTAAATACGGTCCAAAAAAGCAGCAGTTGTTCAAAAAGTCTCTGACCATATCTTTTTTAGTGCTCAAGCTCTATGGACAGCTCTTCTCTTTTAATTCCTTCCTAAGCAAAGTTTTGTAGAAAAGATTCTCCAGATCTCTGCTTCTCTCCACAGAAGATGCCATCACCGAGAGAACTGGCCAAGGAGGCCTCATCTTGAAATGCTCAGGCTAGTTAATAAGCTTAGAGAGAACTTAGAAATAGAAATTCTAAGCTGT